CGTAGCTCAGAGGTGGGTGCAGGCTGCCAGCCACCACCAGCAGGTCTGAATCCCATTGCTCATTTGGGCCTCTCCAAAGGGTTTGCTTGTCTCCTCACCAGCAAACAAGCAAGTAGAGATCTCAGATGAGAGGACAAGGTTTCTACCCCTGCTTGCCTAATACAGAGTAACTTGCCTAACTGAACAGGAATTTGAATTTTTTTGTCCCTGGCCAGGAATTTACTCTCTGTTCCTTAGTGCCAGGTTTCGCTCTGATACCTTACTAGATCTTTTTGCCACTCTCCGTATGCTGTAGCTTTATAAGCAAGTGGTTATGGGTGGAGGGGACCTCGGCTAGCTTGCATGCATGAGGCATAGCGCTTCCTCAAGATGGTTTCTCGGATCAGTCCGTGACGGCCGTACTTGAGCCTCCCCCTCCTGCAGGCTGCGGTGCTGGACACGTGTTTCTCAGCCTGCTCAGTCTGAGCTGTGTGTACATGCACTCTGTAATGCTGGCCCTTCTGGCAACCTTTGGAGGACCAGCAGAGCCATCACTATAAACAAAAATGTACAGGGAATTCAGAAACTCAGACTGGAATTCATAAATTCACAAATTCCCAAACTGTCATAACATGGGAGGATTTTTAGCCAGCTGCATAAAGACTTGAAATGGCTCTGAGCTTGAAATTCAGCTGTTCGGGACTTACCAGCACCGATGAGATTTTGTGGCCAGCCCTTTCCTGTTCCAGGTTCTCAAGCCTTGTTAGTAACGCAACCATTTTCAGCCATAGTATGCCCTGGTAGCATGTACCTGCGTGGCCTAAAGAAAAATCTCAATGTGATCAGGAAACCCCTCTTTCACATGCTTCCTGTGGCTGCAACACCTCGATTGACCCTGCTAAATTAAGGTTCTAGTCAGGTTTCCCATTTGCACCTAGACACGTGGTGTAACAGTTCTCTGAGGACTTCCTCTCTAAAGAATTTGATCTTGAGCAAAACTTGCCTTCTCTTAAGACTTTTTCCAAGTCTGTTGTCTTCTCTCAAAAAAAGCTTATGGGGGAAGTTGTTTGGGATTTTTTTCTTCCTCTGTCTAGAGATAACCTGTCAGAGCAATGAGACCGTCAGCTTCAGAAGTTTAAAGGGGGATGTCTGGCTGCCATTTTCCTACTAAACACTGACTTCGGTCCTGTGCTATTCTGCTTTGCACTCAGAGGGGCTGAAATTTGGCACTTTGGGTCACTAGAGTCGTTGCACTGGAAATCTCAGCACCGTGGTCCTTGTGACTTGCTTTCATCCCTCGTTCCCAGCTCAACGCAGTCAAGCTCAGTGCCTGAAGCTTTCCAGGTTCTCCGTCACACAAGCTCCTCTCTTCTTAGAGGTCTGCTTTGCCAGATCTGCCTGGAGCATGGGATTCCCTGGAAAATGAATGACAGCATCACACAAGCTAAAATGATCGGTAATTCTGTTTTCTCAGGCTCTGTGCTTACCTAGTCAGTGTTCCTGTCTCTTTTATTTTGAGAAACCCTCCTTCAGTTGATGAATGATGAATTTGAAAGGTGGAATTGTGAACTAGAGTTGGTCTTTCAGCCTTCCTCTTTTGTTAGCCTTTGTCTTGATGCGGCTAAAAATGATGGTGGAAGTCCTGCTGTTTGACAAACCCTGCAGAAGAGAAGGGAAAAAGACTTTCCAGACCCACAGTTATCAGGATGTTTTTAAGGGTTTTGTTTTCTTCAAATCATGTCCTCTTACGGCTCGGTGGCAAGGAGCTTTTCTCCAGCCATTAGAGAAGAAAGTGGCTTCTCCTGTGCAGGCTTGTAATAACCGTCCGTGCTATGTAAGATCACTGCTGTTGTACCAGTCATCCCGGGCTGACTTTTGTCTTGCCGGTGCATACAGCTTGCTGCTGCCTGTCATTCCCAAAGAGGACAAATCCTGCTATCATCATTCATGGCCAGGCCATCAAAAGCTATTTCATTTACCCATGTATTCCTGTTTCTTTGCTGCTTTTCAGATAATTGCCATTTGAACCAGAAGAGAGTTTGAGTGCTTTCCTTCTTTCTTTAAGCTTTTAAAGCACCTATGTGTCTTAACAGATTGAACACTTCAGAACGAAACTATTTCTTCAGTGGGACAGAGGACAATAGCTCTCGTACAGCTGTATATGGCTCGTCTTAAAAGGAAATAAAAATCCCACCATGAACCACACACTGTGTTTTTGAAATCCATTATTCAGTGCTCTAATTCTGAACAATGTTTTTGGCTTATTTAATTCTCCTCAAAATTGAATGTTGAACAAAACTCTCTTTTTATTTTTCTTTTCATCTACTGTTATAAGAAAAGAATGAAATGAAAAATGTATTCCTTTGATACCCTTAATCTTTCCTCTCCTGTGGCTA